TTATTTTACATTCATTTTTGAAAACTGGGACAAAATATTGTATGCATCACTATCCAAACTACTCTTGATGCTGTACATATAGTATATATTAGACAATGTATAGTGATTAGGCATGTGAGATCAATACATGCCTGCAGATCTATTTAAACTAGATGAAGTTATATGGGTGGAAACACAAAAGAGTTTGGTTTGCGGGCTTCAGAAAAAAAACTCAAACAAAAACAAAAACAAAAAACCCCCAGCCTTTACTATTATTCTCTTTAGACTTTACTTTCTATGAGTAAAGCCAAATTAATCTAATATTCTGAATATGAGAACATAAGAACTATCATTTACTGGGTCAGATAATAGGTCCATCCTGTCCAAAAATCTGTCACACTGGCAGATAGTGGATGCTGAAAGGGAGAATGAACAGGGTATGCCCAGATTTTTTATTTCCACTGTTCCTCTCCAAATTGCAACCTCCAGCATTTATGGTGTAGGTAGTTTTGGTTCAGGGGCTGTATCCATAACCCCCATGTCCTATGGATGTACCTTCCCTCCAAGAATTTGTCTAATCTCTCTTTGAATCTGGTTAAACTGTCGGCTTCCACAACGACTTGTGGAAATGAATACCATACTTTAATTACACATTGTGTGAAAAATAACTTCCTTTTATTATTTTTAAATTAAGCAGATGTGTCTACACATGCAATTAATGCTATAAAGGCTTAATGGCCATATTGACATGAGATGCTTTCTGTGCAGTAGCTCATTATTACTTTTCAGTAACTTGTTACTATGGCTCAGTAGAACTGCATGGCACGAATGATGACACAATGCTACTGCACAGTAGTAACAAGCTACTGCACAGTAGGGCTGTGCGAAATTTCAATGGTTGTTTTGTTTTGAAGCTGTTTCAACACATTTCGAGCTCAAAACAGCAAAATCGAAATGAAACAAAAGGGTTTGAAACAGCTTCAAAATGAAATGAGAGCACTCAAAATATTTTGAAAGTTTCTAAATGTTTCGAGGTTTGAAGCAGCCTGGTGGCAGGAGGCGGGAAAGCCAGTGGCGGAGACCAACCCTGGCTCTGAGCGCAGCCCTAGCCAGTGGCTCTTCCATGCCTCCTACCACCAGGCACAGCTCCTTGGGGTTGCAGAGCCTCCTGCTGCCGGGCTGTGCTTGCTAGGGCTGCACTCTGAGTGGCTCTGTCACTGACTCTCCTGCTGCCTGCCCCCTGCCGCTGGGCTGAGCTCCATGGGGCTGATGGAGCCACTTGGAGTGGAGCCCAGCAGCAGGAGGTGGGAAGAGCCACGGATGCACTCTGAGTGGCTCCGCCAGTCCCACAGAGCTCAACCTGCCCTCCCAGCACTGCCAGACTCCTCCCAGGGGTGCAGGCCCCCAGATCTGCATGTAGGATGATAGGAGGTTGCTGCTGCTGCCTGGGGCCAGCAGCAGTCTTCCCGGTGTTGGGCGTACACTACACCCAGCTCTAGTCCCAGGAGGCAGTTGCAACCTCCTGTCATCCCGCGTGCAGGTCCGGGGGCTCGTACCCCCAGAAGGAGTCCAGCACAGCCCCACAGATCTGCACATGGGATAACAGGAGGCTGCTACTGCTGGCAAGTGACACAAGTTTTGCTTTTAGCAGTTTGAGGTACAGTTTCCCAGAAAACCCTGCACCTTGAAACTTGGCAAGCTTCATGCCCTCAGAAGGGGCTACCATCCCTACAAGTTCCATCTGATTCAGGCATGAAATGACAAAGTTGTAGGCATTTTCCCCATTATAGCCTATGGGCAAAACATCGAAACATGTCAAAACAGCGAAACAGTTTCAAGGAAATGAAATGGAACAGTGCTTCGAAACAAAATGAAACGACAAAATGAAACACTGTCCCTTTGAAATGGCAAATCAGAAGTCAAAACTAAATGGTGCTGTTTTGCACAGCCCTACTGTGCAGTCAGCATCACCAGGAAGCCATGAAGGGGTGCTACTGAGCAGTAATACTGGTTACTGCTTAGTCATTTAGTACTTGGGAATGCAAGCACTAAATGACTGTGCAGTAACAATTGCAGAGTCAGCGTCTCATGTAAATGCGGCCACTGAGCAGTAAAATACTGCACAGAGTAAGCCTTCCCGGGGAGCATATCTACCTATAGGTGCTCCCTATTGGAAGCAAATCTGCTCCAGTGGGAGCAGCCCAGTACAGGGCTGCTCCAACCCTGTCCTGCCCATTCTGCAGCAGCAAGGGTGAACTCCAGGCTAGCTCTGAATGCTAGCCCAGGGGCTGGAAGGGAGCATGGGGACAGTTCCCATGTGCATGAGGCCAGAAGAGCTCTGCCAGCTGCAGGAGCAGCTCTCTCCTGGTCCCGTGCACATTGGGAGGCATCCTGATGTGCAGGGGAGTGGGAAACAGCTACTACTGCAGATTTCTCCTGACCCCTTGCACATGGGAAAAATCCCTGTGCCCAGCTGGGTTTGCCCACACAGCTGGGGAATGGCCAGGAACTGTCCTGCTTCTGGGGTATGTCCTAGAGATCTCTGGACTGTGTGGGGAGAGCTGGCTGGGACCTGCCCCAGAAGTGGGACAGTTCCCAGGCAGCCCTGGGCTGTGTGGGAAAGCAGGGAGCTCCTGAGTCCTGGCACTGCTTGGCTCCCAGTTCCTGTAGGGAGATCAGCAGTGTGGAGACAGCAGGGGTCATAGAGTTACCCCATCTTGGCAGTGCTTGGCTCCCAGCTGGGAGCTGAGTCGAACCAGGACTGGGGGAGTTCCCCATCTCCTGTGGCTCTCCAGTGTTGAGGATGATGGGAACAAATTGCTCCCAGTCAGCATCTACAAATACACAACAGTGCAGTATCTACTGAGAAATTAGTTTACTAGCTGTATTTATGGGCAGTGCCTAACTGCACAGTAGACTAATTTACTGCACAGTAAATGTGTGCATGGGTAGACAGTGATGCTTTACTGAGCAGTAGATTAGTCTACTACATAGTAAAGCATCTCATGTAGGCACACCCAGTATCTACTATCATAGAGGCATAGATTCATAGATTGTAAGGCTGGAAGGGGCCTCAGAAGATCATCGGGTCCAGTCCCCTGCACCAAGCAGAAAAGAGAACCGGGGTCATTTTGTTGCCCCTAGTTCTTGTATTGTGAGAGATAGTAAACAAAAAAAACCTGTTTACTTTAATTTTACCAGTTATTATTTTGTAAACCCTTACCATGTCCCCCCTCATGCATCTCTTTTCTAACTGAATAGACCTAACCTTTTTAGTCTCCCTTCATATGGAAGGTGCTTTATACCACTAATCATCTTTATTGCCCTTCTTTGTACCTTCTCTAGTTCTTTTATATCCTTTGTGAGGAGTGGGGACCAGAACTGGGCACAGCATTCAAGGTATGAATGCACCATGGATACATAAAGGGACATAATGAAACATTTTGTTTTGTTTTGTTTACAATTCCTTTCTTAATAATTCCTAACATTGTGTTTGCCCTTTTGATGACTGCTGAGCACTGAACTGATGTTTTCAAATAACCAGCAACAATGACTCCCAGTTCTCTTTCCTGTGTAGTGACCGCTAATGTAGAGCCCCTCATAGTGTGGATATAGTGTGGATTATTTTTGCCCATCTGCATCATTTCACTCTTACCTACACTGAGTTTCATTTGCTATTTAGTTGCCATATTAATGTGGTAGTTCTAGATCCTTCTGTAGTTCCTTACAATCCACCTTGATCTTTACCACTTTTAATAATTGCGTCATCTACAAATTTGGCTGCCTCGCTACTCAGCCCTTTTTTCAGTCAATTTATGAATATGTTAAACAGCACTGGTCCCAACACAGATTCCACTGTTTACTTCATTCCATCCCTAAAACCAACCATTTACACTTACTTTTTGTTTCCTATCCTCAAACCAGTTTCTAATCCAGAAGTGCACATTCCCTGTAATCCCATGACTACCTAAACTTCATTAAGAGCCTTTGACGGAGCACTTCGTCAAAGGCTTTTTGGCAGTCCAGATACACTATGTCAACTGGATTACCCTGATCCACTTGTTTATTTGCACCTTCAAAGAGCTCTAATAGGTTGGCAAGACATGACTTTCCTTTGACAAAACTCAGATGATTTCTCCTCACATCCATGGGCTGAACATTCCTATTCTTACTCTTATTTCTACCAGTTTTTCCAGGAACGGAAGTGAGACTTGCTAGCTTGTATTTCCATGGGTCCCTCTAGAGCCTATTTTAATTATTAGGGTCACATTGGCAACCCAGCAGTCCTTTGGTACCAAGGCTATGTTTTTAATGATAGGCTGCATACTAGAGTAAGGATTTAGGAGATTTCTGACCTGAGCTTCTTCAGGACTTCTTTAGGGTGAATGCCCCCAGATGCTAGTTATTTACTTATAGTGATAATATTCTAATGTTATATTCTAACCCACCATTTTCAATCATAAAGGATCCATTTCCCTTTTTTGAGGAAGAGACAGAAGAGAAGAATTAACTGTTCTGGCCATTTTTTTTTGTTAGGTAGCTATTCTGCCTAGTTAAGTGCCTGCTTGCAATTTAAGTTCCCATGTGGAATGGAGGGGAAGTTTGTTTAATTTCTGACTTAAGATTTTATGTAGTGGTAGCATCTGATGTAAAGTAGTTACTATATTTGATAGTGGATGAAATGGGAAATGTATATATGTAGTCTATGGAAAGTTTAACAGTATGCTCCTGAGCACCCATAGGGCAGAGTTGTCACTGTTAGACATTAGACCTGAGGTAACCTGCAGGAAGTTGTTTTGTGGTGTTCTGTCACAGCTGTGAGATTATTAGCCAAATTAACTACTGCACTTTCTAATGTTCTCCAAATTTATCTTGTAAAATGTATGACATACCCTTCAGAATAAAACTGTCCTCCAAAATTTGGGGCAGATGGCAAAACAAGATGGCATCTTTTCGAAAATGTGTCAAAATGTTCATTCAGTCAAGCAATATGATTGGTTGTGTATTCCCGAGTGCTTTATTAAATTCCAAAAACAACAAAAATTGCTTGCACAAACACCTGTCACAAGAATGACTTAAAATAAGCAAATCAAAATATATAATAAATCAGTTATAATCATTTCCAAGGAAATAGCATTTCTGGGCTTAGAAAAGTTCAGTGTGAACTATACACATGTTTACCAGAGTCTTTAAAAATGTTTTATTCAAATAAGTATAGTTACAATTAAATTAATTTAAAGATAAAATATTCCTGTGTAACTTGTTGCTGCAAAATTGTGTGTAGACACCTAATTTGGCCTCTTGTTGTCTATGGGATCTGGACTTCTGTTCTTCCCTTCACTACTTTAAAGAATACAAGAGTAGAAGTGTTAAACCTACTAGCCCAGCCAAACTCCAGCTTTGAAGAAGCAGAGTGAGCCCTGCTCAGGTTCAAGAGCCTGACATAATTAGCTGTGGCAGGAGAAATACAGAATTTCAAACTAGAGACCAAGCAGGTAACTGATGATTTGTCTGGTGGCTTAAATTGTCAGACAAATATCCAGTTGCTAAAGTCCAATTGTGTTTTGAAATCTCTTCCAGGAGTGTAACTTTTATTACAAACCTTGAAAGACTTTCTAGATACCTTTTTACCTGTTGTCCTTTGCTTGTTTCAGAGAACAGTTTAGGTCTTCCCAGAATTGATCTAGGTTAAATTCAAGGCCCGTTGGAGGCAATCTTCAGTGCCCTGTTTAAACGAACCAGAGGGAGTTGCTGCACAGTGAAGCATAGTGCACCTATTCCAGGTCGGAGTGCACACTCTCTGCACCACCCCATGGCCTTTGATGGCGTAAGAAGGGAGAAACTAGCCACAGGAAGTTAAAAGAACTTCTCCATGATATTCCTCAGCACTAAACACACAGGTAGTTATCTATCCCTTGCATTTGACCTTCAAAATGATATTTCCGATCACCCAAACAAATCTACATGCTGAGCAATCAGCCTCCTTACCAGAAAAAAAAAAGTGTCTAAATGGTTGTGCATTGAAAAGTCTCTGCTGTGCTACATTATCTTCGAAGTGGAGGAGGTGGGAAAATAGAAACAAAAACAGCAAGTGATTGTTATGCAATTATGCCATTAGCGGCAATCATTATAAATTAATATGGGTAAGTTTGTTAACAACAGGCAGATGTTCATTGCTGCAACTTTGATCATGAAGCCATGACTCGAGGAGTTAACGCGGCAGGGATTTGGGTTGGAAGGTGCTGAAGCCGAGCAGCACCCATGTGCTTTTCCTCCACACGTTTCTTCCTACATGTGTAAAATGCACACCTGTTCAACCATCCAGACACCCTTGATAATTCCGTTCCAGCTGGTTTGCACTAGGATTAGATGCTCTTTGCATTAGGTTGTAGATGTAGATATGGTTTCTGTAGTGATGGGGCAGACTGCAGAGATCTATTGGCTGCCGGCTTTGTAAATTTCATTCAGTTTGGTCCAATCGCAGGAGGAGAGAGACTGGTACAGCCTGGACCTCTCTCCCTCTTCAATCTCTCTTTTTCTTGCAGATCAGTCTCTCTCCCTGTCTCTGCCTCTCTGCATAGGCAATCAAAGCTCTTACTCACAGACTCAACTCTCCCTTTTGCACTGCTTGTAATGAATTTTCTTCCTGAATGTAGGTCGTTTACCACCGAAAGCGCCAGTTTCCTCCCAAGCCAGCGTCTGCTGTGTGTTTTTCTTTTGCTTTTTTGGGGGTCGATGCATTCCTTTGGACCAGAAAATCGCTTTGGATTCCAAAAAAGGAGAGAGGAGCCTGGTACGATCTCCTGGCAGGATTTGGCTGTGTGTTAAAAACAACAAAAAAAGGACCCTTATGCATCTGCAGCTATTCCAGTGCTAAGGTAGGTGTCATAGATTAAAGGTTTGATGTTCATTTTCTTTTCTTGGGTCTTTTAGATTTTTGGCTGGGGGGGAGGAGGGGTTGCAGTTGGTACTCTGGCAAAGGTTGACCGGTTTGCTGCAGTCGTCTGTGTGCTTTTACTTTTCCCATCATTTATCAAGCGCGACTTTCTTTCTGTCGCCTCTACCATCAGCCCCTGTTTGGATGTCACATATGCATGCACATGTGTGTGCATACCTATATTTCTTTCTCTAAATACCCACCCTTTTATCCCTCCCCCCCCC